TTGTAGGTCACTTCCAACAGAGCCTGTCTATTTTAGATAGAAAAAAAATATTTTCAGAAATCTGTTTTCTTTTTCATAATGAAGGGGTTTGGGTTCAAATTCAACTCAAAAATTAATGGAAAATGTAATAATTATGAAACTGATTTAAAAATTCCAATGTTGCGTGATATCATATGGAGCTGGAAAATTGTTCTGCTTGAGGTAGGTTTTTCTGATTTATTTTGCTCTAGTACAAAAATTAATTAATTTTCACTCCAAAAAGTCTTAAGGCATGATTCATTTCCCATTCCTTTAGAATAAGCTGTAGAGGACTTAATTCTTTTCCACATCTTTATTTACTGCATTACATGCTTATTCATGGTGTTAGCTTCAGAAATCAAGTGTTATTTCCTGGCAAAGTCATGCTATTTGAAGTGTAAATGCTGCTTTATCTGCTAATTTATATTTGTGTTTTAGAAAAATGAGATGTAGCTCTTTGAGTTACTCATTTTGTGTCAGGAACAAAAGCAGCACCTATCAACAGTGGGTTTAGGAATCACTGGCTCCATGTACTGTAAAGTATTGCATTATATCTGTATTTGGCAAATACTAGTTTTTGAGGTTTTTCTTTTTTTTTTGTTTGTGTGTTCCCTTTTTCTATATGAAACCTTCAGTGAATGGTGTTTGCTGTTTTGATGCTGTGATGCCACTACATTATTTGTTGTTCATGTTATTTTTATAAATATCTTCTATTTAATGAATAAATAGAAACTTACTATGTCCTATAAAAACTCCTTTAAATTTAACACAACTTGTTCATAATTTTACTTGTGAATTTTGATTTTTATTTTGGTTTTAATGTTTTGTTTCTTGAATTGCAGTTTCAATTATGCAGTAAAAATGGACCTTTTTCCTTAATCTGCATAGTAACCTGTGATAACTTAGAGTCAGTGTTTAGAAATGAGGCAACTCTAAAAAAAAAATCTAAAGAGCAATTGACAACTAAAATATCAATTTAGATTCTCTGCTCTTATACATATTTGTTAACAGAATCTTAAAACACGTTCTGGGGTAGAAATTAAGACCATTAAGCTCAAGCTTGGTTACTAACATGTTCCATTAACAGTTAACAAGCACAAAATAGAAAGAATTCATTTATTGAACAAACATGGCAAAACTAGTAAATAGGGAAATGCTCTTTGATTAAAGAAGTTACAGGCATCCTGGTTTTCTTGCAAATCATGCAACACCTTTGTGTAAAATTAAGGTGCTGTGGGGAGAATTTTGAGATACAATCCTTAATGTTGTTATGGATGAATCTCAGTGAGTTTTGAAAAAGTCCTCTGTCAAAGAAGGTGTCCTAAACCCAGCACTGAAAATTAATTTTTTTTTTTTTTTTTAATATTCAGGTCTAAGCAGAAATGTTAAATTTAGAAACGCCTGTCTCTGCTGTAAACTAGCAAATTAATTGCAATAGAGGGTTTTTTTTTTTGAAATAGTGTTGAATTACTGTTTGCTTGTCCTTACTCTTGCACAGTTAAAAAAAGTAATACTTTTAAAATAAATTGTTGATATAAAATACAACGTATTTCCCTGGAAAAATAAATTTGAGATGTTCCTTTCCAGTAGGCTTGGTCAGATCGAGAGCTTAAATGGCAATAAAAATGTGGATGGTGTGAGGGCAGTGATGTTCAGTGCATGGTGCTGAGAGAGGAGCTGCTCCTCGTTTGTGTTTGCTGTGGCCAGGCATCTCTGCCAGCAGATGGTTGGAGGTCTGATGTTTTGCAGGTCAGCTGGTTCATACAAGTTACTGCCAGGAATCCATGGACAGCAATGGAAGGCTGGTGGAGTGGGTTTTTAATCCCCAGAGCCTTGTTATCTTCAAATAAATAACTAACAAGCGGTTTTGCATTAGCAGACCGGTGGGTTATATCCAGTGATTCGTGCGTCTGAAGATTCTTTACATTGTGCCTTTTTCTGAGCACTTGAACATTTTGAAGACATTCACAGATGTGCTGGCAGCATCTGCAGCATTTCATATTCTTGACCTTGAGCAAACTGCAGAGAACCCCTGTCCAGTAGCAAGTCAATAACATTTCACTCTGGCACCAACCTTCATCCTTTCACCTGGACATTGGATTAGGCTCTGTTACCCACACACTTCCAATAGTCTTATGCAGTGGTGACCACATTCCCATTGTTTTGTGTGTTATCTGGAATTATGATCCAGATCAGCAGTAAATTAAAACTAAGTTGTCAGCAGTACAGTTCTTTATTTCTCTATGCATACTGATTGTTATTTATACCAAAAAATATTGTAGTTTGCATTTCTAAAGTTTATAATTATAACACTATTTGGTTCTAACCTGTATTTCTTTTTATCAGGAAAAAATACTAGTAGTTAGTAGCAGGTCTCTTTGGAAAATGGTGTATTTCTCCATGTATTTCACATTCACTTTATCTGTAGTGTCATGTTATTTTAAGTTGCAGCATATGTAGGCCAACAAAAACTGACATAAGGGAAAGCAGCATAATACAGTGTAATGATATGTGACACATCCAGAATGAGGAGGAAACTTGCTTTCTTGGAACTAGTACCTATTGCTTACTGTGTTTGCCATTAACATACTCTCCTCCATGCAACACTCTCCCCTATGCAATCAAGGTACTCCTTACCTATGTCAGAAAATACCAGCTTGTCTTGAAAAAAACCCCAGCAAAATCAGTTATTTTTTTGAGATGTTGATTCATAATTCAACCCTGATATTGCTTTCCTGATTCACAAACTATTCTTATGCAGAAACAAGGAATTAATCCTGATATTTTTCCCTTACATTTTAGTTCATAGATTAATATTTGACATCATTCATATTTGTGAAAGGTCAAGCTATGTACTCTTATTCATGTGAACCTTATAGACAGCTTAAAAGAGAGATATAAGTCAATAAAAAGTAAACTTAAAAATGTAAGTAAATGAAATAAGTCAAATATCAATTCTAGGAAGGAAGCAAGATAAACTAATCAAGCTCTTTAACATGCTCTGAGTTTTGAACATGTATTTCACAATAGATTGCATTTCACTGCCCTACAGTTAACTGGATTTGAGTACAAATACGGGTAATAACTATCCTTTCATTGTGTTACTTTTAACGTAGGTCAGTTCTCTGCTTGCACTCATTGCATGGCTGCCAAATGCTTCCTTCTCTCACAGAAACAGCAACGGCACGAAAGGTGAAAAGCAAGAGAGAAAGGACCCAGAATCACTTTTCTTGGCAGCCAGAGTGGCAAAGTGAGTGTGAAGTTCTCATAGAGGAAGAATTTGTTATTTAAAGAAATAGCAACTTCCCTCATTATTCATGTAGTCAAGTCTGAAAAACATACGAGAAATCTAAGTGAATGTTATTTTGTCAGAATTAAAATGCAGATGGAACTATGAAGCAGGATATAAATGTTTCATAATATATTGTCTATACAAGTTGATAAACAGCAGGAGTTACTCTTATTGATTGGTGAAGAATTTTTTTTTTCCTTAAGAAATAAAAGCACCCCACTGTTTACTGTATTCTTGCTATTGAAGGGATTTATTTTAAAGTAAAATATAAGTGGTCGTAAATTGAAAATAACAGCACTCATTGGGAAAACTGAGAGAAGGCTCATAAAAAGAAATCATGCAACTGAAGCTAAAACCAGAACTTTTCTGTTAGTGTCTAGTACAAATCAAGATCAAAAAACCTAAATATTTTACTATTATTAAGTATTCTTAAGACAAAAGCAAAAAAGTCTTCTCAGAACTCAAATGTAGGTTTCAGTTTTGGTATTTTGTTTTCCACTTGAGCTTAGAAGTTTCACTGAATCTGTGGGATGCCCATTCAGAATTGGCTTTGGAAAATATGCCCAAGTGCTTAAATACTGTAGTAGTACCTGCCTTATGAATGAAATTCCTTATGTTTATTCACTAATGAGTTATGGAACAGAAAAACATGGCTTTTCTTGTACTTGTGGGAAACTTCACTTTGTGACCATAGGATTTTAATAGATTATTGATTTCCATTTGTTAAAGTGTTACCTGTCAAAGTATTTTAATAACTTCTGGTTTTGGTCTAAGTTAGTCTAGTTAATATTATGTGCTTCCTATTGAAAAATAGTAGAGGTGCTCATAGAACTTTAAACTAAAATTTTCATTATAAATAAAAAATATTTTCTATAAATAAAGATTCTGCCCAATTTCATCATGAAGACAGCAGACTGGCCACTGCTTAAATTGGAGTAGCACCTGAGAAACTGCCCTGCATTCATTTCCCAGACTGAGCTAAAGAAAACAAATTTGATCATATTGCCATGGTATGAGATCTGGATTTTGTAAGATTAGGTAGATGAGATGTCAATGTTTCAAATTCAAGGTTGTGGTATTTAAGTTGTGAGTGGTTGTTTTTTTATTTGTGGCATTTTACCATGTAAGCAAGGATCAAAAGAGTACGAAGAAGGCAAATTGACTTCATTAATGAATTAAAACAGTAAAATTTTCTCAGGTTTCAAAACCATCAGGAAGGCCTTTTCTGTATGTGACATTCTTGATTTCAGAATATGCTGCTTTTAACTTCTTTTAATATAATACATGGGAATGTGTGCCAAAATGTCACCTATATTTAATTAAATATTACCTCAAGACGGGGATACGGAATTTTGTTTCTTCGTATTTACAAGAATTTTCATTTTGAGAGCTGTTGGTCTTTATTCTTAAACTGACACGTAACGTTCAAATATTTTGGGGGATTTTTTCACTTTAATGCATATAAAAAGGTCATTATCTACTGCTGACTTTGAAAACTTTGTGAAATACAAAGTTATCTACGTGCAGGAAACTCTTGTGCCATCGGGTACATTGACGACCGCTTTTCCCACTGCTGCCTGGTGTTTAGACTGTTGTGATTCTGCTGATGTAGCTGATGTTTTTTTCTTCATTATTCCTCTGCCTTTGTCCTTTCCTACAGGCTTACCCTGAGTTTGTCCTGACCTACCTAGAGGAACTAAATGAAAGAGAGGAGGTGACCCAGACAGAAAACCGTATTCACCATGGGGCCTGGTCTGCAGCTCATCAGGAGATAGACAGCAGCTCAGCACAAGAGGTCACAGTATTAAGCCAGAGGCAGGTCAGAGACAGTCCCTTCAAAAACACATTTTGAAAAGAGAAATATCAGTGTGGAAGTCAGCTTATTTCCTTAAAAAAAAAACCCAAACAAACCCCTTTGATTCCTTAATTTAATAAGATATTTATATATTAGGCAAGTAATAGTTACGTACAGGATTATAAATGGATAAAAAGCTGTGTTTATTTCTGCCTTAGAACAGTTCATGCTCACAGCGCATGTAGGACAAATTTTTGAAATTTCCTATGTGGAAAAAACTCAAGGAAGGAAGAGAAACAACAACAAAAAAAAACCCAACTCACAAGATCTCTAGATTTGTGCCTCTTGATGCATCTTGACATAGCTATTTGTATTTCTGACATTTTCTGCTAATCAACAGCCTCGCTTGAAAAAGTAGACACACATTATTTTAATTAGCAATATATAAATTACCCGGTTGTACTTTCATCTCTTAGGTTCTGCAAAAAAAAAAAAAATATGTCAGCAACCCCAATCAGAAACAACTTTCAGGACCTTTGGACGCCCATTTAATGCCTGCAGATCCCCTAGGGGAGACTCCACAGCTGACAGTGGCACTGGTGAGGAAACCAGAAGCGAAACATCCTAAGGCCCCAGCTCAAAGGTAAGCCACTGACAGAACTGATATTTATTGTTCAATGACATTAGATGTTTTCCTTCAGTTTCATGTAAGATTGATTTCCTGGATATTATTGAAATATCTCAGAAACCCTCTGGCTGAGAAGCAAACAGGGATTTTGACCAAAATTAATGAAAAGGGGTGACATTTATGAGCTTCTCTTTTTTTTTTAATTTTTTTTTAATTTTTTTTTTATTTTGAAGATTGATGTGGATGATGTTTGGTAGTAATTGTAAGTTCACTTTTGAATTTTTTTCTCTACGAGCCTCACATCATGCAAGTTACATAAAGAAATAGGACTTGTATCTACTTTGTGACATGTTTCGTGCCACAAGACTTAAATTTAAATGGTAAAGGTGTTGTTAGAAAGCTGAAAGTCATGCTGAGCCAAAATATTAAGTGAAAGTCACTTCCAATGTAGGACTGTATTTTAATTTCAGATAAAGGATAATGTTGTTATTGCTTCTACCTACAACAGGCAGAAGACTTTGCCTTTCTTTAGATAACTGAAACTATCTTATAGAAATGGCATTTGGCTACTTACTTTTGAGGTTTTGGGTATTTTTAGATCCAAACATATTAAAAATGGACCTCCCACTCAGATGAAAGACCACAAGACATCACTTGCTATTAGGATTAAAGTTGAACTCGTTAGTGTTGTTACTACTGGCAATAAGTTAATGACAGTGATTTGCTAGACTAGAATTTCAGGTGTTTCCTTTATAATATTATTTTACAAATATTTAGTCTTTTAGTATCTGAAACATTCTCAAATGTGCCTGAAGACTCTGACATGACTGAGGTACCTGAAGGTATTGGCTATCAGCAGCTTTTGGGGAACTGTGTAGCTAGGGGTAGGTTACCTGTATTTTGGATAGTTTTATTTTTTATTTGATGAAATAAAAGGTAAACTTGGGTTCTAACATTAATATTGACTATATTGGCTCTTTCAAAAGATGCCATCTGCAACGTGATGTGAGGATTTGTCCAGCATCCTTGGACTTGCTCCACAGTGCTTTGAATATGAATTATTGTGCTGTAAATGGGTAATGTGATGTCAGGGTCACTATTTAACTTCATTGAAGTATGACAGAATAAGTGAAATTTCAACTAAATGTCTGTACTTCTAGCCTCAGATAACAGGATGTAAATATTAAGCTAGACGTCTCTTCTTGCAGAACAAACACATTTGATTTAGAAAGCTGTCTGTAGTCAAGATCTTCCCACTGACAGTGGAGTTATGCAGTCTAAAGCATTTTCCTGAACTTGAATTAAATATAGAAAAATACATTTTAATACCCAAACAACATTATTTCACTGTCAGAAATATTTGGCATTAAGTAGCAATTATAACAAATTCAAAACTGCAGTTACATCTGTTATGGGAGGTACTAAGTGATTTAAATTCTCTTTTGTTGCAATTTTTCACTAGACTGTGATAAGTACTAATGTAGTCTGCTAAACAGCTGCCACATCCCACTCTGTAGTTTGTAGAATCCTTTCAGTGACTGAAAGGTGATGTAAGATTAGGGAGACAGGGTTTTATCTTCTGTGATTTGAAAAGCTGTTCCATTTCCAAGTAGCAATAAAACTTGCCTTCCTTTACAAAACAACATGAAAAACTGTCATAAGCACAAATTGTGTGTTAGAGGAAAATATATCTCTGTGTCCTAGAATTGTTTCAGTTGGTCCAGATATAGGAGATGATAAACTGAAGATTATGATCACTGTCCCTCCAAAGTTCAACTGGATTTTATGAAACTCTTTTGGTTAATGGCCCCACTCGGCGCATTCGTAGAATTTCAGGAAACTTTTTGGCTCACTGAGAGGGGGGGGAAGGAGATTCAACTGCCCAGACACGGGTGTTTGGGCTAATTTTTAGGTGTTAAGGGGTACATCACCAGGCTTCCAGCTGTTTTGGAATGCTGCAAGTCTCCTGCCAGTGCTGTGACCTGTTTGTGAGAACTGTGCAGGTGCTTTGGGTACATTGGCAGTGTCAAATATAGCCAGTGCCTCTTTTTAAGCTTTGAGTCATGATGGAATCACAGAATATTGGAGTTGGAAGGGACCCACAAGGATCATCAAGTCCAACTTTTAGGCCCGTACAGGGATCAAAAGCATCCTAAACGTTTTATTTTCCAGCTTAGTTTTGTAGGAATATGCATTGCAGAGACATCATTCTTAGTGTTTTTCTGGTTTGGTTTCTGAGAAACATGCACACTTTGGCCAGAACAGCATGAAGACAGCCCAGAAAAACCCTTTTCATAAGGCTCTTCCTATCACATCCTATAGAATAAGGTTAAGTTTCAAAGCATATGGTTAATTAAATTGCAAGCTTGTCTGTTTGTATAATTGTCATACTTTCAGACTTCCTTTCCTTCCTTATTTTTGCTGGTTGAAGGCTGCAGTCAGCCCCTTTCTTACCTGCACATTGTTTAGCCAGTTGCACATTATCCTATGGTATGTGTTAGTAAAGACAACAATGAAGTGAACTTCTTTGGTTTTGGGGGTTTTTTTGTGTGTCTTATCTTAGTCTTGGCAGGTCCTTAGTATCTTTGAGGACATCTTATTGAGTGTTCTTTCCAATGTTGTTTTCTAATGCATCTCATGCTTTTAACAACTTGCATGATACATTATGCCTGTAAGACAGAAAAACTTGAACCTCATCTCTGATTTACCTGACTGAATCCCCAAGTTTTCATGTGAAAGCTGCAAAATTTACCCATTCCAGAAAATACTATTGAGGAAAAAATGACAAGTATTGCCCCAAACAGACCAAAATCCAATCCAAGGTAGTTGCTGGACATGGAGGATTCAAGCTGCTGAGAAGGTGTGGTGGCTTTTAGGATAAGGATGAGTAGAGAAGTGAGCTGTGTGACTGTGACATGTGTACTTCCCTCAGTGCACAAGAACTAATGACTTAACTAAGTGACTAATGACCACTGATTTCCTTCCCACCCTTGTTCTCATTCTCCCTGTTCATGTATGGGAAACAGCTAATCCATTGCCTCCTTTCACTCAAAAATAGTTTTGAATGGACACTTTTATGAAGAAATGACATATTATTATCTTTGCCTGGGTCAAGATAATGACTTAATGTTTCTGGTGTTACCCTGTGGAACTGTAAGCCCTGTAAATTCTGGCAGTGTTTTTAAATTACTTCTCTCATTGTTATGATATTACAGGTTGGGCCCAGCTAGGAAAGTGCTCTTGTATCAACTGTAGCATATTTGTGGTGTCCTGGCAATACATTCCATTTGTGAATCGTCCCTTTAAAGGTGCTGGTCACATATCTACAATTAATTACCTGTTTCAATGCAGCTTTGGTTTCAGACCTTATTGGATCACTTTGTTGCCATAAGTAAGCTTGATTTCACAAGTTTCTGAATATTTGGTCTCCAATCCAGATATGCATTTAAGTAAGCTCCAACTAAAGTACATGCTAGGTACAAGCATTCTTGGATCTGAGTCAGAATGCTTATGACCTTGTCATATTTAATACTAAGACAGATGCAGCTGGGACACTTGGTTTCATTTTAATTTTTCTGAATCACTTGGACAAATTCAGTTATCACGTTTTTGTAAGACTTAATGGTGTAGGAAAAATGACTAAGGAATACCCCTATGGAGATGGAAATGTTTGCCCACTTCTGTTGTTGGTTACAGCTAAGCAAACGCTTGACCTTGATTCTTTATACACTGTTCATTCATTTTAAATTCCATGTGGGCAAAACATAAGTGAAAGTCATAATGTACATCTGTATTGTAATTGATTACACTATGAAGACAGATGAGAGTATATTAGAAACACTAATTCATTACTGGATTATTGTAAAAATCTATTCATAGATTGCCCATTCCACAAAAAAAAAAAAAAAAGGGTGTTTTAGACTGTATTTTCTGCATTTTAAAAGTTCTTGTATTCATCTGAAGTACCCCCTCAGATTTCTATTTGTGGAAAGTCCTTCCTGGTAAAAACATCTTTTCAATGAGTTGCAATGATTTTTCATGATATATCTGCCATGCAAGTGTTATAAAGGTTAAAGCTTTGAATTGTGACAAATTAGCTTTCATTATCTGCTTTAGTCACATCTTGACAAAATTATTCCAATAGCCGTGTCTGCTACAGATACAAATCCAGTTCTGTGCTCATCACAGGGAGGAAATGTTACACATCCATCTGAAAAGGAAAGGAAGGTACAATAAACATCACATTCCCCTTTTCAGAAAGCATCTGAAGAGATTTGTTTGCATTAGTGTATACCAGTTCGAGCAGGTTGCCTTTATTTCACTGGAGTAGGAACTGGGGGGCTGAGGGGGTGTGGGGGAGTTTGTAGCAGCCGACAAAGCATGGTGACCCAGCTTGTCACCCAGTGACCTGTGAGAAGGAAATAATGAACTGTGAGTAGCTGTCATCTTAACTCTTTCTGACAGTTTGGCTATGGGCACATCTGTGGTAGTTGCATGGAAAGGCCTTTGTTGTTTTCCCACTAGTGACTTTGCAGACCGCTGTGGGCTTTGCTGGCTGCCCTGCTCCTACACTTCCCCTCCTTTTTTTTTTTTTTAGTGGTAAGAGCAGCTGCCACTGATAGAGCTGACATTTCTTTTAATGATTTACTTGGCATTTATACCCGTTAAAACCCAAGAAATTAAATTGAAATACAACGTGCGGTTCTTGTAAATGAAAATATTCTCTATGTCCGTGTAAGATCTGGTGCAAGTATGCATATAATCATTGTCTGCATCACTTGCAGCAGTTTTCAGCAGCTGTAGATGCCCTTCCTTCCTAATATCTTGCCATACTTAACTATTTTGAGTGAAATATTGAGTCTTATGGTAATAACATTTTAAATAATCCAGCGTACAATGAGACTAGCAGGTTTTCATGGCTAAATGATATATTACAAAATAAACAAACAACCTCCCCCACTTATTTACTATTAAAGGAAACAATTCCTTCTTTTTTTTCAGATTGACCAAAGGCT